GACCGTGGTTGGTGGTCAACCCAGCCCGCCATGACAACCCATTTGGTTCAGTACATGGACCTGAGGTTGGCCATAGACAACAACCCGCCGGCCTATGACCTCCGACCTGGGACTTTGGCACCCAGCCACCACAAATGTCGCTCACGACAAAAATACCGTCAGGTTGGTCTCAGATTCTCCTTGATATTTTTTCCTCGGTTGTTTCATAACTTGTCGATGTTTGCCTTCCTGCTTCTAACCTGGTGGCATTTTATTTCATTTATTTGATTCTGTTTTGTCAAATCTGACACCCACCCCCCCAACTTCCTACCTAACACCACCCCCCTTCCTTCCCCTCCCCCACAGCCCCCACCTCCGACCCTACTTAGTAAAATCTGCTTAGAATCAATAACACCACTTAGCTCTAAATTAAAGGTGAGTTTTTAAATGACACCCACCACACCACACAATGACATTTTGATTTATTTTATGTTGTCATTTATCAATTGTATCGGCAAATGACAATACACAAGGACCTAATCTACAATACATGACAGCTAAGTACGTGTCTATCTAAGACATATTTGTATATTCTACTTGACAGAAAAAAAATACGCCCTAAGAAAACTATTTCAACTAGACGCAACATGCCCCCCCCCCCTTGTTTAAACTATAGCCGGATGGAGTAGGGGTGGTAAGGGGGAATTGTTTCCTTCAAATATTTAGCATAAACGGTGTGTTTTTAATATATTAAAATGTATAACGTTTTTGTATAGCTAAGAGTTATATTAGAATAGACGTTTGAGTAATTTGGTGGTACCCACCCTCCACTAAACCCCTCACCCCCTGGAGCCCATTCTCACTTGGCTGACACCCAGGTTCCCACACACAGGTTCCCACACACAGGTTCCCACACACAGGTTCCCACACACAGGTTCCCACACACAGGTTCCCACACACAGGTTCCCACACACAGGTTCCCACACACAGGTTCCCACACACAGGTTCCCACACACAGGTTCCCACACACAGGTTCCCACACACAGGTTCCCACACACAGGTTCCCACACACAGGTTCCCACACACAGGTTCCCACACACAGGTTCCCACACACAGGTTCCCACACACAGGTTCCCACACACAGGTTCCCACACACAGGTTCCCACACACAGGTTCCCACACACAGGTTCCCACACACAGGTTCCCACACACAGGTTCCCACACACAGGTTCCCACACACAGGTTCCCACACACAGGTTCCCACACACAGGTTCCCACACACAGGTTCCCACACACAGGTTCCCACACACAGGTTCCCACACACAGGTTCCCACACACAGGTTCCCACACACAGGTTCCCACACACAGGTTCCCACACACAGGTTCCCACACACAGGTTCCCACACACAGGTTCCCACACACAGGTTCCCACACACAGGTTCCCACACACAGGGTCCCACACACAGGTTCCCACACACAGGTTCCCACACACAGGGTCCCACACACAGGGTCCCACACACAGGGTCCCACACACAGGTTCCCACACACAGGTTCCCACACACAGGTTCCCACACACAGGTTCCCACACACAGGTTCCCACACACAGGTTCCCACACACAGGTTCCCACACACAGGTTCCCACACACAGGTTCCCACACACAGGTTCCCACACACAGGTTCCCACACACAGGTTCCCACACACAGGTTCCCACACACAGGTTCCCACACACAGGTTCCCACACACAGGTTCCCACACACAGGTTCCCACACACAGGTTCCCACACACAGGTTCCCACACACAGGTTCCCACACACAGGTTCCCACACACAGGTTCCCACACACAGGTTCCCACACACAGGTTCCCACACACAGGTTCCCACACACAGGGTCCCACACACAGGTTCCCACACACAGGTTCCCACACACAGGTTCCCACACACAGGTTCCCACACACAGGTTCCCACACACAGGTTCCCACACACAGGGTCCCACACACAGGTTCCCACACACAGGTTCCCACCCCACCCCCTCTAACCCTGTGCTCAATATGTCCCAACAAATCTCTCACCCCACCCATTTTACCTCTCCACCCACTCTCACCCCTCTATTTTAACTCCACCCACTCCCCCTACTCTCATCCACCCACTCCCACCCTTTGCCCCACCCCAGTCACCCTCCGCTGTCACCCACCCACTACCTTCTCCTGTAACAAATTAACATAACTCCCCGACACCTTTATGACACCTGTTGACATACACCTAAACACCATTTCATCAACCCAAAAAAAATCCCGTCAAATATTTCATAACCTGTTAGTAGAGTGTTCGGCGGATAATGAGCTAGGGGAGGGTAGGGGGGGGGGCGAGATAGGCAAGAACCAGGTAAACGGCGGGGGGGGGGGTGTGCTGATCAAAGAAATTCAATATATTTAACCGGAAATCACCGCGTCACAGTTCGATATTCAAGTATCGATTTTAGTTTTACACAAAAAAAATATTTGCTCTAGTTGTTGGGAAAATTAAATCAGTTACATACGGAGACATACATGTTAATATATACATACTCTCACACTTTGTGAACTAGATACCCTATAGTTATGCACCGCATACACATACAAACATGTACCACATACACATACATAAATGTACAACATACATACATGTACCACATACATTTACCACATACATACATGTACCACATACATACATGTACCACATATATGTACCACATACATACATGTACCACATACAAGTACCACATACATACATGTACCACATACATACATGTACCACATACATACATGTACCACATACATGTACCATATACTTACATGTACCACATACATGTATCACATACATACACGTACTACATACATACATGTACCACATACACATACATACATGTACCACATACACATAGATACGTGTACCAGTACCAAGACTTAAACATATCATTGTTGTTATACTCATCACGTGATATTCACATAGGAAGACCTGGACCGACTGAACAACGATTTGGCGCGGTCCCAGCAGGATTTGATCTCACTTCAACAGGTGCCCGTTTACCTAGCTTACATCTGCCGGCTAATTTAGCTTACATCTGCCGGCTAATTTAGCTTACATCTGCCGGCTAATTTAGCTTACATCTGCCGGCTAATTTAGCTTTCTTGTGGCGGCTAATTTAGCTTACATGTTGATGGAGTTTAAATGTGCCGGCTTTGTTGCTTATTTGTGCCGGCTTTGTTGCCAACGCGAGTCGCTTTTTTATGCTTTCCGCATCACAATCACAGTAATCAAAATCATAAACTGCTTTTTTTTCTTTTTTAATATTTTGATTTTCTGCAGAAAAAAATAAAATAAAATAAATTATAGATAACGCCAGTCAGTTCAAGGGAAACAACTTAGCATAAAATTGTTTTAACACAGTTTTCGCAGTAGCTTTCCTTGACAGTTTTGTTTTGTATTTTTTTTAAAATTATTTTTACATTTTTTTTTATTAACTATTGTTGCAGTGTTCTTGTTTTCAAATAATGTCTGTATCTCCTAATAATTTTTAATTTTGCAGCTAATTAGGTTTGACTGCAGCACCATTAGCTTGTACAGCTAGTAGGTCTACAGCTAGTACAGCTAGTAGGTCTACAGCTAGTAGGTCTACAGCTAGTAGGTCTACAGCCAGTACAGCTAGTAGGTCTACAGCTAGTACAGCTAGTAGGTCTACAGCTAGTAGGTCTACAGCTAGTAGGTCTACAGCCAGTACAGCTAGTAGGTCTACAGCTAGTACAGCTAGTAGGTCTACAGCTAGTAGGTCTACAGCTAGTAGGTCTACAGCTAGTACAGCTAGTAGGTCTACAGCTAGTACAGCTAGTAGGTCTACAGCTAGTACAGCTAGTAGGTCTACAGCTAGTAGGTCTACAGCTAGTAGGTCTACAGCTAGTAGGTCTACAGCTAGTAGGTCTACAGCCAGTACAGCTAGTAGGTCTACAGCCAGTACAGCTAGTAGGTCTACAGCTAGTACAGCTAGTAGGTCTACAGCTAGTAGGTCTACAGCTAGTAGGTCTACAGCTAGTAGGTCTACAGCTAGTAGGTCTACAGCTAGTACAGCTAGCAGGTCTACAGCTAGTACAGCTAGTAGGTCTACAGCTAGTACAGCTAGTAGGCCTACAGCTAGTACAGCTAGTATGCCTACAGCTAGTACAGCTAGTAGGCCTACAGCTAGTATGTCTACAGCTAGTACAGCTAGTATGCCTACAGCTAGTATGCCTACAGCTAGTAGGCCTACAGCTAGCTCACCCAATACAAGTCTTTTGCTAGAATGAGCTCGCTGTTTAAATTATTTTTCCTCATCTGATAGGTTTGTTACTGAAGACAGCTATCTCTGGAGCCGCTTGTTTTAAACTGTCTAACAGCTGCCTAATCAAATGTTTAATATTTAATTTGATCTGAATTGTTTGACCTTTTATAACTAAACCTCCATTATCATTGTTTAATTAAGTACAGTTAAATGTTAATCATGAAACATCTAGTACTTCCTTATAAAGATGGAAGTAAACTTCGATTATGATTGTTTAATTACTCAATTTAATTTTATTCATGACACATTCAATGTTTTTACAAAATTAAAATTGTACTCAACTATCTGCTAGTTAAAACAAATGTAATTAGTGATTGATAGTCTGAAGTAGGTTTTGAAAATTCCACTGGAGTTTGCCATTTATTTGAATCTCAACCGCAAAAACAAATGACATGTGAGCGCTAGTTTTATTTATAGACACATTTAAATTTAAAAGAAAAATAAATTGATAGCCAGATCAGTCTAGAACATTGTGTAACGTTTAGCTATTTGGACATCGTGTGTTGAGAGACGAGTGAAGAGAAAATGTAATTATTGTGTACAAGATACAGAAGGTGATATCTTTCTACTGGACTCTACCGACATGTTTTGCCTTACGTTGTATACGTGTCTAGATTGACATGCGTTGTTCAACCTGTATGTATCTACATCTGTTCACTTATTTCTTGCAGGGTTTGCCTGAACCTGCAACAGGTCACGTGACTCTATCGGAGCCTGCGCTGGTCAGGGAGGTGAGTTGTTTGTTTTTAATTGTGCTAGAGTTACCCCCCTCTCAGGGAGGTGAGTTGTTTGTTTTTAATTGTGCTAGAGTTACCCCCCTCTCATCCTCTTCGGTCAGGGAGGTGAGTTGTTTTTAATTGTGCTAGAGTTACCCCCCTCTCAGGGAGGTGAGTTGTTTGTTTTTAATTGTGCTAGAGTTACACCCCCCCCCTCATCCTCTTCAGTCAGGGAGGTGAGTTGTTTTTAATTGTGCTAGAGTTACACCCCCCCCTCATCCTCTTCAGTCAGGAAGGTGAGTTGTTTTTAATTGTGCTAGAGTTACACCCCCCCCTCATCCTCTTCAGTCAGGGAGGTGAGTTGTTTTTAATTGTGCTAGAGTTACGCCCCCTCTCATCCTCTTCGGTCAGGGAGGTGAGTTGTTTTTAATTGTGCTAGAGTTACACCCCCCCCCCTCATCCTCTTCAGTCAGGGAGGTGAGTTGTTTTTAATTGTGCTAGAGTTACGCCCCCTCTCATCCTCTTCAGTCAGGGAGGTGAGTTAAGTAGTTAATTACAGTCACACCCCTATCCCCCCCCCCCCCCCCAGCCCACCACCCCATACTCTTAGGCAGGTGTGTTTGAAGTAGATATAAATAGAATTCACCTAGTTTTTTTTTTCAAATGTGTTTCACAGTGACAGTTTAAAAAATACAAACTAAAAGTTGAAAATAAAATCCCAGATGAATTATTTTAAAAATCAATGTTATAAAATGAGCAAACGGTATTTATTACATCAATCAACAATTTAAATTAAAGTTTGACTTTAGTAAAACAAAAAATGGTTGCCTCTATTCAGAGGCGTAGGGGGGGGGGGGGCGCCAAAATGGGTTGGAAAAATAGATTGAAAGCTTAAGGGGGGGGGTGCAAATAAAAAATTTGAAGGGGGGGGGGGTGCAAATCGAAAGTGTGTCCCCGGGCGCCGGAAAGGGTCGCTACGCCTCTGCCTCTATCATAAGTACTAGATTTAATTTGAGCAGCCACAGTTATACTCGCTGAATACACCAATCGATAGACCGATACGTTTGAAAACAGCCGGTGACGTCATGTTTGTTTACATTTTCCCGGTGAAAATGATCAAAAAAAAAATCTCATCTAATTTTGTTTTGGTACCAAAAATACTAAAAACACGAAATCTAAACAATCTTGAGCTAAGCCGGACAAACAGCAGACAATCATGTTTGAATAACCAGATAGTATTATATACAACTTGTTACAACATTTAAATGGGGAGTAGGGGCATATACGGCGTGGCAGTGACCCATAACAAGCCTGGGGTCACGTGAATATTTGATTGACCTCGGTTGTTATGGCACTTGTTTTTTTGTTGTCGATACACAACACTTGTATTCGTCTCTAGTTGATGTCACCCCACCCCACCCTAGATAGAGAACATACACCCCCATCTGCTTAGACCCCCACCCCAGATAGAGAATGTAATCACCCCCCATACCCCCTACCTCCCAGCGCCCCCCTCTCTACCCCCTACCCCCCCCCCCCCCCCCCCCAACGTGTGGAATCGAACTACGACTGTTACAGCCTTACTGGACCACGGTTCTCTCCGACTTTTCTTATCAAGTTTTTTATCATTCTAATTAATTAATCATTCTAATTAATTAACTGCTTTTTCTCTGTCCACAAAATTGGACTTTAGATAACAATGTTGTCCTATTGGACTAGAAAACTAGACTTGGATCACACTATTGTTTCCTTGTCTAGAAAACTAGACTTAGAAAACTAACTTTGACAGAATCGTAACCTAGCACCTGAAACAAGAACCCCGACAAAGAACCCCAAAAAAGGATTCCAAACCAAAAACCCTAACCATGAATCAAGAACCCCAACCAAGAACCCCGACCAAGAACCCCGACCAAGAACCCCGACCAAGAACCCCGACCAAGAACCCCGACCAAGAACCTCGACCATGAACCCCTACCAAGAACCCCGACCAAGAACCCCGACCAAGAACCTCGACCATGAACCCCTACCAAGAACCCCCACCATGAACCCCTACCAAGAACCCCGACCAAGAACCCCGACCAAGAACCCCGACCAAGAAACCCGACCAAGTACCCCGACCAAGAACCCCGACCAAGAACCCCGACCAAGAACCCCGACCAAGAACCCCGACCAAGAACCTCGACCATGAACCCCTACCATGAACCCCGACCAAGAACCCCGACCAAGAACCCCGACCAAGAACCCCGACCAAGAACCCCGACCAAGAACCTCGACCATGAACCCCTACCAAGAACCCCCACCATGAACCCCTACCAAGAACCCCGACCAAGAACCCCGACCAAGAACCCCGACCAAGAACCCCGACCAAGAACCCCGACCAAGAACCTCGACCATGAACCCCTACCAAGAACCCCCACCATGAACCCCTACCAAGAACCCCGACCAAGAACCCCGACCAAGAACCCCGACCAAGAAACCCGACCAAGTACCCCGACCAAGAACCCCGACCAAGAACCCCGACCAAGAACCCCGACCAAGAACCCCGACCAAGAACCCCGACCAAGAAACCCGACCAAGTACCCCGACCAAGAACCCCGACCAAGAACCCCGACCAAGAACCCCGACCATGAACCCCTACCAAGTACCCCGACCAAGAACCCCGACCAAGAACCCCGACCAAGAACCCCGACCAAGAACCCCGACCAAGAACCTCGACCATGAACCCCTACCAAGAACCCCCACCATGAACCCCTACCAAGAACCCCGACCAAGAACCCCGACCAAGAACCCCGACCAAGAACCCCGACCAAGAACCCCGACCAAGAACCTCGACCATGAACCCCCACCATGAACCCCTACCAAGAACCCCGACCAAGAACCCCGACCAAGAACCCCGACCAAGAACCCCGACCAAGAACCCCGACCAAGAACCTCGACCATGAACCCCCACCATGAACCCCTACCAAGAACCCCGACCAAGAACCCCTACCATGAACCCCCACCATGAACCCCCACCATGAACCCCGACCAAGAACCCCGACCAAGAACCCCGACCAAGAACCCCGACCAAGAACCTCGACCATGAACCCCTACCAAGAACCCCCACCATGAACCCCTACCAAGAACCCCGACCAAGAACCCCGACCAAGAACCCCGACCAAGAACCCCGACCAAGAACCCCGACCAAGAACCTCGACCATGAACCCCCGCCATGAACCCCTACCAAGAACCCCGACCAAGAACCCCTACCAAGAACCCCGACCAAGAACCTCGACCATGAACCCCCACCATGAACCCCTACCAAGAACCCCGACCAAGAACCCCTACCATGAACCCCCACCATGAACCCCCACCATGAACCCCCACCATGAACCCCCACCATGAACCCCCACCATGAACCCCCACCATGAACCCCGACCAAGAATCTATAAACTCACATAACAAACCAGATCCTGGTTTTAAACCCTCACCCGCTGGGTCACATCCATACACATATATCAGCGTGAACTATGACCTTTACTCTAACCCGCCTTGTCACATCGATACACAGATATCAGCGTGAACTATGACCTTTACTCTAACCCGCCTTGTCACATCGATACACAGATGTCAGCGTGAACTATGACCTTTACTCTAACCCGCTGGGTCACATCGATACACAGATTTCAGCGTGAACTATCACCTTCACTCTAACCCGCTGTGTCACATCGATACACAGATTTCAGCGTGAACGATGACCTTTACTCTAACCACATTTACTGCCGACACTTCACACGCTCATTACATCTCAAAGCACGTGATCAAGACAAAAAGCCGACACGGTACAAAGGCCGACAATGCCGCATTACATCAACAATACCTGCAAGCTGAGTAAAGGCCTACGGCAAAATCCAAACTACGTTCTAAATACATTCTCAAAAAGGGTACTTCTAAAGTCTATGTTTACACATTTTCATTGAACCTGACATTCAAATACATTTTTAATTTTTTTTCTCTGACTTTTTTCCTGTGACTTTTTTCTGCATACCGTAAACACTACCTAAGAAAACAGAGCCACCGTGAACAGGGCCCCAGTAAACATGACCCCAGTAAACAGGGCCCCAGTAAACATGGCCCCAGTAAACATGTCCCCAGTAAACATGGCCCCAGTAAACATGACCCCAGTAAACACGACCCCAGTAAACATGACCCCAGTAAACATGACCCCAGTAAACATGACCCCAGTAAACACGACCCCAGTAAACATGACCCCAGTAAACATGACCCCAGTAAACATGACCCCAGTAAACAGAACCCCAGTAAACATGGCCCCAGTAAACAGAACCCCAGTAAACATGACCCCAGTAAACAGCCACAGTTCCCAGCGTTCTTGTACTTTCGCGTGTTGATGTTTTGGGGACTGCCAGCTGTTCTCGGCGTTCTTGTACTTTCGCGTGTTGATGTTTTGGGGACTGCCAGCTGTTCTCGGCGTTCTTGTACTTTCGCGTGTTGATGTTTTGGGGACTGCCAGCTGTTCTCGGCGTTCTTGTACTTTCGCGTGTTGATGTTTTGGGGACTGCCAGCTGTTCTCGGCGTTCTTGTACTTTCGCGTGTTGATGTTTTGGGGACTGCCAGCTGTTCTCGGCGTTCTTGTACTTTCGCGTGTTGATGTTTTGGGGACTGCCAGCTGTTCTCGGCGTTCTTGTACTTTCGCGTGTTGATGTTTTGGGGACTGCCAGCTGTTCTCTGCGTTCTTGTACTTTCGCGTGATGATGTTTTGGGGACTGCCGGCTGTTCTCTGCGTTCTTGTACTTTCGCGTGATGATGTTTTGGGGACTGCCAGCTGTTCTCGGCGTTCTTGTACTTTCGCGTGTTGATGTTTTGGGGACTGCCAGCTGTTCTCGGCGTTCTTGTACTTTCGCGTGTTGATGTTTTGGGGACTGCCGGCTGTTCTCGGCGTTCTTGTACTTTCGCGTGTTGATGTTTTGGGGACTGCCAGCTGTTCTCGGCGTTCTTGTACTTTCGCGTGTTGATGTTTTGGGGACTGCCAGCTGTTCTCTGCGTTCTTGTACTTTCGCGTGATGATGTTTTGGGGACTGCCGGCTGTTCTCTGCGTTCTTGTACTTTCGCGTGATGATGTTTTGGGGACTGCCAGCTGTTCTCGGCGTTCTTGTACTTTCGCGTGTTGATGTTTTGGGGACTGCCAGCTGTTCTCTGCGTTCTTGTACTTTCGCGTGATGATGTTTTGGGGACTGCCGGCTGTTCTCTGCGTTCTTGTACTTTCGCGTGATGATGTTTTGGGGACTGCCAGCTGTTCTCGGCGTTCTTGTACTTTCGCGTGTTGATGTTTTGGGGACTGCCAGCTGTTCTCGGCGTTCTTGTACTTTCGCGTGTTGATGTTTTGGGGACTGCCAGCTGTTCTCTGCGTTCTTGTACTTTCGCGTGATGATGTTTTGGGGACTGCCGGCTGTTCTCTGCGTTCTTGTACTTTCGCGTGATGATGTTTTGGGGACTGCCCGCTGTTCTCGGCGTTCTTGTACTTTCGCGTGTTGATGTTTTGGGGACTGCCAGCTGTTCTCGGCGTTCTTGTACTTTCGCGTGTTGATGTTTTGGGGACTGCCAGCTGTTCTCGGCGTTCTTGTACTTTCGCGTGTTGATGTTTTGGGGACTGCCAGCTGTTCCCAGCGTTCTTGTACTTTCGCGTGTTGATGTTTTGGGGACTGCCAGCTGTTCCCAGCGTTCTTGTACTTTCGCGTGTTGATGTTTTGGGGACTGCCAGCTGTTCCCAGCGTTCTTGTACTTTCGCGTGTTGATGTTTTGGGGACTGCCAGCTGTTCCCAGCGTTCTTGTACTTTCGCGTGTTGATGTTTTGGGGACTGCCAGCTGTTCTCGGCGTTCTTGTACTTTCGCGTGTTGATGTTTTGGGGAGTGCCAGCTGTTCTCGGCGTTCTTGTACTTTCGCGTGTTGATGTTTTGGGGACTGCCAGCTGTTCTCTGCGTTCTTGTACTTTCGCGTGATGATGTTTTGGGGACTGCCGGCTGTTCTCTGCGTTCTTGTACTTTCGCGTGATGATGTTTTGGGGACTGCCAGCTGTTCTCGGCGTTCTTGTACTTTCGCGTGTTGATGTTTTGGGGACTGCCAGCTGTTCTCGGCGTTCTTGTACTTTCGCGTGATGATGTTTTGGGGACTGCCAGCTGTTCCCAGCGTTCTTGTACTTTCGCGTGTTGATGTTTTGGGGACTGCCAGCTGTTCCCAGCGTTCTTGTACTTTCGCGTGTTGATGTTTTGGGGACTGCCAGCTGTTCCCGGCGTTCTTGTACTTTCGCGTGTTGATGTTTTGGGGACTGCCAGCTGTTCCCAGCGTTCTTGTACTTTCGCGTGTTGATGTTTTGGGGACTGCCAGCTGTTCCCAGCGTTCTTGTACTTTCGCGTGTTGATGTTTTGGGGACTGCCAGCTGTTCCCAGCGTTCTTGTACTTTCGCGTGTTGATGTTTTGGGAACTGCCAGCTGTTCCCAGCGTTCTTGTACTTTCGCGTGTTGATGTTTTGGGGACTGCCAGCTGTTCCCAGCGTTCTTGTACTTTGCCGTGTTGATGTTTTGGGGACTGCCAGCTGTTCCCAGCGTTCTTGTACTTTCGCGTGTTGATGTTTTGGGGACTGCCAGCTGTTCCCAGCGTTCTTGTACTTTCGCGTGTTGATGTTTTGGGGACTGCCAGCTGTTCCCAGCGTTCTTGTACTTTCGCGTGTTGATGTTTTGGGGACTGCCAGCTGTTCCCAGCGTTCTTGTACTTTCGCGTGTTGATGTTTTGGGGACTGCCAGCTGTTCCCAGCGTTCTTGTACTTTCGCGTGTTGATGTTTTGGGGACTGCCAGCTGTTCCCAGCGTTCTTGTACTTTCGCGTGTTGATGTTTTGGGGACTGCCAGCTGTTCTCTGCGTTCTTGTACTTTCGCGTGTTGATGTTTTGGGGACTGCCAGCTGTTCCCAGCGTTCTTGTACTTTCGCGTGTTGATGTTTTGGGGACTGCCAGCTGTTCCCAGCGTTCTTGTACTTTCGCGTGTTGATGTTTTGGGGACTGCCAGCTGTTCTCGGCGTTCTTGTACTTTCGCGTGATGATGTTTTGGGGACTGCCAGCTGTTCCCAGCGTTCTTGTACTTTCGCGTGTTGATGTTTTGGGGACTGCCAGCTGTTCCCAGCGTTCTTGTACTTTCGCGTGTTGATGTTTTGGGGACTGCCAGCTGTTCTCGGCGTTCTTGTACTTTCGCGTGTTGATGTTTTGGGGACTGCCAGCTGTTCCCAGCGTTCTTGTACTTTCGCGTGTTGATGTTTTGGGGACTGCCAGCTGTTCCCAGCGTTCTTGTACTTTCGCGTGTTGATGTTTTGGGGACTGCCAGCTGTTCTCGGCGTTCTTGTACTTTCGCGTGATGATGTTTTGGGGACTGCCAGCTGTTCCCAGCGTTCTTGTACTTTCGCGTGTTGATGTTTTGGGGACTGCCAGCTGTTCCCAGCGTTCTTGTACTTTCGCGTGTTGATGTTTTGGGGACTGCCAGCTGTTCCCAGCGTTCTTGTACTTTCGCGTGTTGATGTTTTGGGGACTGCCAGCTGTTCTCGGCGTTCTTGTACTTTCGCGTGATGATGTTTTGGGGACTGCCAGCTGTTCCCAGCGTTCTTGTACTTTCGCGTGTTGATGTTTTGGGGACTGCCAGCTGTTCCCAGCGTTCTTGTACTTTCGCGTGTTGATGTTT